AGATGGCCAGAGTATTGGGGCTTCAGCTTCAGCATCCGTTCTTCCAATGAATACTCAGGTTTGGTTTCCTTTAGGATTGACTGGTTTGATCTCCTTGCAGTCCAAGGGATTCTCAAAAGCCTTATCCAGCACCACAATATGAAAGCATGAGTTCTTCGGTGCTCAGCTTCTGTATGGTTCAACTGAAACATTTATACATGACTACTAAAAAAATGATGTGTGTGCTCAGTCATCTCTGACTCTTTGCAACCCCATGGACTATAGCCAGCCAGGCTCCTCTGTCCATTGAATTTTCCAGGCAAGAATACTGGAGTGGGTTGCTATTTTCTACTCCAGGGTATCTGCCCAACCCAGGGATCAAACCCACATCTCCAGTGTCTCCTGCATTGACAGGCAGATTCTTTAGCACTGCAAAAAACCGTAACTTTTTGACTATACGGACCTTGTCAACAAAGTGATATCTCTGTGTTTTAATACACTGTCTAGGTTTGTCATCACTTTCCTTCTTCCAAGTAGCAAGTATCTTTTAATTTCATGGCTGCAGTGGCCATTCACAGTGATTTTGGAGCCCAAGAAAGTAAAATCTGTCACTGCTTCCACTTTTTCCTCTTCTGTTTGCCATGAAGTGAGGGGACCAGATGCCATGATCTTCATTTTTTGAATGTTGAGTTTTAAACCAACTTTTTCACGCTTCTCTTTGATTTTCATCAGGAGACTCTTTAGTTCCTCTTTGCTTTCTGCCATTAGGGTGGTATCATCTGCGTATCTGAGGTTGTTGATATTTCTTTTGGCGATCTTGACTCCAGCTTGTGATTTATCCAGCCTGGCATTTCATATGATGTGCTCTGCATATAAGTTAAATAAGCAGGGTGACAACATACAGCCTTGTCTTACTCTTTTCCCAATTTTGCAGTCCATTGTTCCATGTCCAGTTCTAACTGTTGCTTCTTGACCTGCATACAGGTTTCTCAGGAGGCAGGTAAGGTGGTCTGGTACTTCCATCTTTTAAAGATTCTCCACAGTGTGTTGTGATCCATACACTCAAAGGCTTTAGCATAGTCAATGAAACAGAAGTAGATGGCTTTCTGGAACTCCCTTGCTTTTTCCATGGTCCAGCAAATGTTGGCATTTTTATATCTGGTTCCTCTGGCTCTTTGAAACCCAGCTTGTACATCTGAAAGTTCTCAGTTCATATACTGCTGAAACCTAGCTTGAAAGATTTTGAGCATACCCTTGCTATCATTTGAAATGACTGAAACCTAGCTTGAAAGATTTTGAGCATACCCTTGCTATCATTTGAAATGACTGCAATTGTACAGTAGTTTGAGCATTCTTTGGCATTGCCCTTCTTTGGGATTGGAATGAAAACTGACCGTTTCCAGTCCTGTGGCCACTGCTGAGTTTTCCAAATTTGCTGATATATTGAGTATAGCACTCGAACAGCATCATCTTTTATATTTTAAATAGCTCAACTGGAATTCCATCATTTCCATTAGTTTTGTTCGTAGTGATGCTTCCTAAGGGCCACTTGACTTTACACGCCAGGATGTCTGGCTCTAGGTGAGTGACTAAAAGCAAATATAGTAACATGCTAATAGTGACATTTAGTTGCTGAGTGTATGGATGCTTAGTATAAAGTTTTTTTTTTTTTGCTGTATGTGAAAAATTTCCTCCAACTAATAAAAATAAATGGAAAAAAAAAAAAAAAACATTGGGGAAGTGCATATTTGTGTTGCCAGCAGGAATGTAAAAGAATGTTCGGAACAGCATAACGACCTCAAACTGAAAGCAACCCAAATGCCCATCAGCAGTAAAATAAATGCATACATAGTGGGTCTGTTTATATAATGGAGTACTGTTCACAATGCGAATGACCAAGCTACAGCTACACACACATGGGTGAGTCTCACCAACATAACATTGAAGGGGGAAAGACTCAAAAGAGGACATCCTGTATGGTTCTGTTTCTATAAAATCCATAAACAGGCAAAACTAGCCTACGATGTTAGAAATCAAGGTAATGGTTTTCAACAGGCAGGAGGAAAAGGATTGAATGGAATAGGGAGCCTCCTAGAGTACTTGAGGGTTCTGTTTCTTGATGTTGGTGACAGCTAACAGGTATGAATATTCATCAAGTATGTGTAAAGTCTGTGTGCCTTTCTGTGGTATTACACATTATTTAAAAAACTGTACTGGGAAGAAAAAGAAAGAAAACCAAACATATCCAGCCTGGAAGCTTTGCCTAGACAAAGCTACTTTTTTCATTTAAAAAGCAATTCTAATTAGAAGTTACATCCTGTATACAAATGTTATTTCAAGAAGTTTCATTCCATTGGCTAGGACAGAGTGGAGAGCTCTGAAAAGATGAAGTCTTGCCCTGACCACTTTAGGGTGGTAGGAACCCACTCTAAGTCTGTCAAGTAAACCAAAGTTGTGAAGGGAATGAGACTTCCCTTTAAGGCACACGCTTGTTCATTTGTGCACTTATGCCTGTTGCATCAGTTCCCTGGGTCTTCACACAGAAATCTATGCACAGACACTGTGTCCTGAACCCAGACTAGGTTCCCAAGGTGTGACCTGGCCCTTGCAGGGGCTCATGTGCCCAGAGGAAGGAAGAGATGTGCAGGCATTTCACCTGGCAGCCACCCTCTCTGCCTTCCTGGAGTCCTTTTTTGTGATTCTTCTCATGTGTTTGTCCTGAAATATCCTTTGACCCCTGAACTGACTTGTCAAGAGTTCTTCAGAGAAGCAGAACCAATGAGAGAGAGACAGAGATATAGATAGAAAGAGAGATAGAGGTTTGTTATAAGAAATTAGCTCATATCATTATGCACGCTAAGTCACTTCAATCATGTCCAACTCTGTGCGATGCTCTGGACCACCAGGCTCCTCTGTCTGTGGGATTCTCCAGGCAAGAATACTGGAGAGGGTTGCCATGCCCTCCTCCAGGGGATCTTCCTGACCCAGGGATCGAACCTATGTCTGTTACATCTAACCTGCATTGACAGGCAGGTTCTTTACCCCTAGTGCCACCTGGGAAGCCCCATGTGATTATGGAGACCCCCAAGTCTTGGGATCTGCAGAGTGAGTCAGCAACCAAGAGACTCAGGAGAGCTGATGGTTTCATTTCAGTCTGAAGGCTGGCAGGCTCAACACCCAAGAAGAGCCTAGGTTTCTGTCTGGATTCAAAAGCAGGAAACAGCTGATGTCCCAGCTCAAAGGCAGTCAGGCAGGAGAAGTTCCTTCTCATTCAGCCCTTTTTTTGCTATTCAGGCCTTCAGCTGCTTAGAAGAGGCCCACCCACACTGGGGAAGGCAGTCTGCTTTGCTCCGTCTACCGATTCCAATGTCAATCTCATCCTGCGACCACCCTCACAGACACACCCAGAATCATGTTTTACAAATGTTTGGGCACCCCAGGATCCAGGACTTGGTCAGGTTGACAGAGAAAATTAATTGTCACCACTCTGGAGCCTGAAAAGCCTTCTAGCTTGAAAAGACACAGCTCTGTAATAGAAGAAGTGCAGCCAGGGGCCCTGGCCTGGTCCCTGTCCCATCTCATCAAGTAGGACAGGCTATTGCTGTTGCCACCTCACACACATTAGTCATCCCCCCCCCCCACATTGTTTGGATTAGTCATCAGTGGAAAAGAAGGCTTCAGCTGCTCCCCAGGCCCCCTGAATGGTCATATTTATGATTTTAAAGAATAAATAGAAATATCTTAGTTATTACAAAATACGTCATATACGTCAGGCAATCTCTGAAACAGTTGAAAGGATAAAGATAAGAAATGAACCTCCACATGCTTCCCGCACAGCCTCACAAATGGAAAATGACCAGTATATTGAAGGTCTTTGCTGCTCCTTCGAGGGGATTCCCACTCTGTCCTTTCCTGTAAGTAGCCATTCTCCTGAATTCTATTGGTCATTCTCTTGCATTTTACAAACTCCAAAGTGTGCGTCTGTAAATGTACTTGTTTGCTGTGCCCTGGTTGAGTCTTTATGAATTGACACGTGCTGTGGGCGTTCTCTGCACCACGCTTCTTCATACGAGATGGGGGCCTCATCCACCCCGTCACGTGTAGCCGCTGTGCGTTCATTTCACTGCCATATCATATTCTCTGGTGTGGATGGGTCCATCGTAGGGGCCACGTGTCTGTCTCTTCAGCTCTTGATGCCTGTTTGGGTTACTTCTGGGCCTCTGCCATCACAGCTGAAGCTTCAGGAGCATTTCTGTCACCATCTCCAAGTTCACAGGTACAGAGATTTCTCTAAGATGAACACCTGGGAGGTCAGGTGTTGAGCCCCGTTGGGGAATATCTCTTTGCTTCTCTGGGTCATGCCAGGGAACTTTCCAGAATGATTTTACCAGTGTGTGCTCCCACTGGTGGTGATGTGGGATTCTTATGATGCTCTCCCCCTCCCCCTGTCTCCATCCTCTCTGGTCTCAGTAAATTGCCTTCCCTATGTTCGGTCACCCTTGTTCGCAGGGTGGCCAGTGTTTAAAGCACAGTGTGACCATGACGCCGGCCTGCCCACTTCATGCACGTGCAGGACTGGACTTGTCTAGGGTGGGATCTAGTACATGAATGCATGTCAAATTCCCGCTGCTGTGGGAGAGCCCACGTGCTTTTGTTGGACGACTGTGCGGCTGTCTCTGTCTCTGCTTCAAGGCAAAGGACTAAAACAGAATCCCAGTAGAGTGGGTGGTGGCCAAGCTGAACCCCGGGGCTGAGTTCCTTATGCTAATATCACGATCTTCATCCTTGAAACTGATCAGCCATGCCCTGCCATTTCTCCATGGCCAAAGAGCAGTGCATCCCAAGGTTTTCTCCATGAGCGTTTTGGGCCCACCCAAGACCTCATCCCCAGACATGAACTCACTCCCCTACCCAGTCTGCCAGGCTTTGGAGAGGATGCTTATAAACCGTCATTTTTTTGTGCTGCCTCTTTCCAATTGCAGGTTAGTCTGGGGAGGAAGATAAAGACATTTGCCACCAAGATGGTAATCACGGGTGGAAATGATGAAGACAGAGGAGGCCAGGAAAAGGAGAGTAAAGAAGAGAGTGTCTTGGCGATGCTGGGGATTATTGGGACCATTCTGAACCTGATCGTCATCATATTTGTATACATCTACACCACTCTGTGAATGGCCCAGCAGGTCCTCGGGCCTCGGGATGGCCAAAAGACAGGAGGAGTCCTGTGTGTTGGCAGATCAGTGACTGGACACTGCGCCAACAAGCAGCCTTGACCGACACACACTGCTCGATCAGATGCACCTTCGAACTTGATAAAGGGTCACCAAAATCAACCAATCCTGCTGCGAGGAGCAGACACTAAAGCACAATGAATCCACCAAAACTCATTCACACAGCAAGGAACTCAACATCGTTGGCAGGGGACCTGAAACGCACTTGGAAGACCACCCTTTGACACCATCAGGGAGTGGATGGGTACAGAGATGGGTTATCCCAGGTCGCTGACGGATGTCACGTGTTCAAAAAGAGGAATGGGTGGACGCAGCTCACAGCAGACACAGCTCTTGGCCTCTCTCCCAGGACATGTGTTTCCTCCTAACTGGATGAACTGTTTGGTACCAAAAAACCACAGGGACGATCCTTAACAAGCATCCCATTCATCAAAAGTGTCTAACTATTTGATACTGGGGAGATAACTTATTTTTTCTTTTTTTCATTGGCTTGATGTGTGTATCTGTTCATATCAAGGTTTATAAATATATATTTTTAATAAATGTGCTCTATTTTTTAGCATGAACCAAATATTTGGAGAGGCGCTCCTGGAACCATACAGCTTTCCTTGGTTTTACCTGCTGTATCTACCTTAGACTGCAGTTGTTATTTTGTGTAATCGCTCTAGTCCTCATTCTCTCATTTGGAATCGTTTCCCTTCTCTCTCCCTTCGTGCTTTTCGGCCTGGAGGACATTTTCCCATAAGACCAGCTGTGATCTTGGTTGGTGCATGTTTTAAGATTGTCCATCGAGCGACTTTTTGTTGTTATACTGGAGATGTAAAACGGTCGTGGGCATGTGGACTTCGGATGTACCGTATCCTTACTGAGAATTATGCATGAACAGGGCTGAGTGATATAGATCAGCTTTAAAAAATTTTTTTTACAAGGAATACCATGGAGGAAGGGCGTTGCTACATCTGTGGATCAACTATAGGATGGAGTATTCAGCTTCTCGTTGGCAGCATTATTTCATTCTTGTGACCATTTGTCGATGAGATTTGATTTTAATGGCCACATGCCATGAAAGATGGGTGGGAAGGACAAGGCGGGGAAAGCTCAGTGTTAGGAGCTTAATTCCCTTCGTGAGCCTCCTGGGAGCCTTTGCAAAGTATGTGGGGGTGTAAATAACACTTGGACTCCTCCCACCATAAGAGCTCATCTGGCTGTTTCAGGCTGGGAAGACACCCCTGCAACAGATGACTTTTCAGGAGCACTACAAGGGGATGCAACGGTCACCCCAAAAGATTGCTGTATTTCTTCAGGCTCCTGGTTTACACCCACATGAAGCGACTTCCTCCCTGGCAGGGACAGTTGAATCAGGATGAATGTGCCCTGTTCTCCTGCCTCCCTGAGATGGGACCTTTCACTGGCTGCAGTGGCATGGCCTTATAAAGAAGGTTAGCATTCCTTCTACCAGCGCCAGCCTTGCCTGTGGGCAAAAGAAGCAGCAGGCTACCTAGGTGGAGTCGAATGATGTCCAGGAGATCACGGCCAGGTCTCTCTCCCTCCTGATGTTATGGTGTCTGAAATTTCACCTTTAGAGAGTCACTTCTTGGACTGTGTTAGGGACCAGGCACTTTTTAAAGCAGATGCCCTTAGCACCTGGCCCTCATCAGGAGTCTTCTCTTCCCCACCAGAAGGAACAGAAGCTGATGTGTGTTCAGGACATACTGTGTGCTAGGCACTGTGCCAGACTCCATTCCTTCAGTCATAGAATGCTCACAGGAAATGAGCTAGAGAGTCTCTGTCCTACATCATAGAGAAAGAAAGGGGGACTCAGATGGGGAAACTTCCCCAAGGTCAGGTAGCTGGTAGTGGTGAGTCAGAACGCAAATTCCCAGAGCTGTCTGATTCCCTAGCCCGGTGAGGGGCATCAAATGCTGGGGAAAGAGGGAATGGAGAGACACAGACTGGCCGGGAAAGGGCCCTCGGGGCCGGATGCTCACCGATGGTTTGCTGAGGGCCAGCTCTGCTCCCCGCCCTCCTTCCCTCCCAAGAATAAATAACCCTTGGGAACTCCTTGCACCCTGGCAGAACGTTGTACATGTAAGGACTTGAGGAGGAGGGCCAAGAGGAGGCTTGCTTAGACATATAATGGACTGTTGGGGGAGGGAGCCATCTCACAGGTTCCGTGTGGTTCTAGAAAGACTGTGTGAGAATTCTGAACCGTGAACAGAGTAAACAATAAAGGTGCAATGGAAAAAAAATCTACCGACGTCCTTTTTCTTTTTCCTCCAGCATCCGGGTATTTTTAAACCTTCATGTCATTCCTTTACCTATACGTATTTTTGTTTTATTTTATTTCAGATTTTTTTTTTTTTTTGGTGTGGACCATTTTTAAAGTTTTTTGAATTTGTTACAGTGTTGTTTCTGTTTTACGTTTGCTTGTTTTTCCTGTTTTCTGGGTTTTTTTTTTTTTTTTTTGGTTGGGAATACTAACTCCCCAACCAGGGATCGAACTCATACCCCATGAACTGGAAGGTGAATTCTTAACCACTAGACCACCGGGGAGGTCCTGGTTTTTTTTTTTTTTTTAAGCGGACAAAACTGAATGTGACTCTGTTCCACTGAAAGTGTTTTGTTTGGACTGTGGAAGCCCTGGTGATTTTTCAAGTGTACTAGTTTGAAATTTATTGAGGGGGAAAACTGCCTTTCCGATCCTCTCAACAGCTCCCCGATGGTCCTTCTACATTGTCCTAATCCGCAGCCTGGAAATAAAGCTGCCCGTTCAATGACTGCCAACCCAAGTGGCAGTGCTGTCTACTGCAGAGAGAGCCTTTCATTTCTGCCCTCATTTAGCAAAGCCCGAGAACACAGACTGGGCAAACTCACAGTTTCCTCCATGACCACAAGGCGTCTCGTGGGGACGTGATGGGGAGGCAGCCGGTGGCCCTGGGGCTTAGTGTGCTGAGCCCAACCTTGGCACAAGTAGCAAAAACCCAAATGACCAGCCCGAGGGCTGATACTTCCCACCCATCCTCAGGGACACTCACAACAGCCCGTGAGATGTCCGTGCTGACCCCGTCTCACAAGATGAAGTGTGTGTCCATCTCCTTGTGACCCCACGGACTATAGCCCGCCAGGCTCCTCTGTCCATGGGATTTCCCAGGCAAGAATACTGGAGTGGGTTACCATGCCCTCCTCCAGGGGATCTTCCTGACCCAGGGATAGAACCCACATCTCCTGCATTGGCAGGCTGACTCTTTACCACTGAGCCACCTGTGAAGCCTTAGAAGATGAGGAGAAAGGCTCAAAAAGGCTGATCGACTTTTCCAAGGTCACAGGGTCACACAGCTCGAAACCAGCAGAATCAGACCTGTCCGCATCTCTGTGCCATCCACAGACCTTGCGTGGTCCCGGCTGTGGGTCTGAGCTCTGCTGGAGCCGTTGGGCCAGTCCAGTTACATCACACAGTTTCCCACTGCACCTGCCTCTCCTTGGTCACAACAAAACATGGCTGAATCGGTGACTTTGACTTCTACCCCAGAAAGCGACTCAGAAAGCCTGGGTTCTGGCAGGGGAGGGCCAGGCACCCCATGGCAGTGTACCCCTGGTGGTCTGGGGCCGCAAGGTGCTTGTCGATGGCCATAAACAGCCTGGGCCTGACTTCCATCTGCCTTATATGATCGATATGACCGGCTCTGTGAGTCTCAGTTTTCCTCATCTGTCAACAGTGGGTGCTAATAGCCTCCCAAATCTCATCAGGAATTTTAACCTCATTTTTATTGATACAGAAAGTGTGGCCTGGAAAGATGAGTTGACTTAAGCAAAGGTTCCCTGGTGGCTCAGATGGTAAAGAATCCACCTGCAATGTGAGAGACCCAAGTTCGATCCCTGAATTGGGAAGATCCCCTGGAGAAGAGAATGGCTACCCACTCCAGTATTCTTGCCTGGAGAATTCCATAGAGAGGAGACTGGCAGGTTCCATGGGATCTCCAAGAGTCGGACATGACTGAGCAATTAACAATTTCATTTTGACTTGGGGACCATGACGTCATGTGGCCAGGGTTCCAGAAGCTGCTACTTTCACCTTTGCAGCCAAAGAATGTCACTTAAACCCCCATGTCATTGTTCATGGGTGTGTGCATGCTAAGGCGCTTTAGTCGTGTCTTACTCTTTGCAACCCCATGGGAAGCCCTCCAGCTCCCTCTGTCCATGGTATTCTCAGGGCAAGAATACTGGAGTGGGTTGCCATGCCCTCCTCCAGAGGATCTCCTCAACCCAGGGATCGAACCCGTGTCTCTTATGTCTCCTGCTTTAGCACGCAGGTTTCTTTACTGTTAGGGCCGCCTGGGAAGCCCCTGGGTATGAGTGAGTACCATTTACTAAAGAAATACTGGATCAAAACTTACGTTCACATTGCTTCTAACAAACACCTGTGTGTATCTAATGTGGGGACTATTCTTATCTGTCTCTTTCTCTCCCATATTCCCCTCTCACTCTCCTTCTCTCTCTCCTTCTTTCCCGTCCTCTGTTCATTTCTCCCTTTCTCTCCCCCTGAAAGCCCCAGGGCCCCAGCTCACCGTCTCACTGTTGACATCACCCATACTTATAGTCTAAGGGCTCCCCTTTTTCCGTCAACTGCCTGCAGAACACCAGAAAGCCCCCCCACCTCCTTGTTTCACTGTTCCTCATAGAGACAATCTCATTGGCTTTTTAAACAATTTCCTAACAGCTACTTTGGGAACCCAGACTGGCTATGATCATGTCACACTTTGGGAAGAGAAAGCTACAGAGGCCAAATTCCCGCCTTCTCTTCTGAGACTCTCCTGGACTGCCCTGTAGCCCCACCTCCTAAAGGAAGGACCTCTGTGTGAGACGGCCCCAGCAAGATGCCCCTGTGGACCGGGGTACCTTCTGACCTCACTACATAATGATTCTTTCCTCTTGTGGG